AATTTGGAATCAGTTCATGGAAAAAAAATTATTATTTTATTTCACCGGTAACAATTTCGGAACAAAAAGTGTAAAACTTAGAACTTTTCTTGCGCTCAGAGTACTTACTCTGAACTCTACGATGTTCCCGGATCATTATAAATTCCGAATTTTTTTAATTACAGTTCTTTGTTACCGGTTCTGGATCTTCTCTAGTTCTATCGGTTCTAGGAAACTAGTTCCGAATAAATACGGAATGTGATCACATTCCCTAATTTGGAGCGCTTCATCTATAAACCCTAGAACCGATAGAACTAGAGTAGATGTGAAACCGCGAACAAAGAACTGTAACATTTTTACTCTCAAATTTTTAAGTACTGTTCTGTGTTCGCGATTTAACTAGTTCCGAGCCGGTTCTGAACTAGTTTTACTGGTTCCAGGAATTTGTTAGTCGATCCCATTCCGAACCAGGGTTTTCGTGATTGTTAGAACAGGAAGAATGAAATCGTTTCCAAAAAAAATTACAGGATTCCTCTTATTGCACTGAATCAAAAACTGCGTTCTATTTAATAGTGATCGAATGGATTTTCCTGTTCTATTATGTCTCAATAAACCATTGCCCCAGTGCATGTTTCTTCTTTTACTAATGAACTCAGACTCACTATTCGGGTTTGGAAAAAGGACGGTTCGAGATCGGTTCAAAACAATCAGACATTTTATCAATCAACAAAATGACAACAACTCGACTATCACAAATTTCAATAATAAACTGTGCGATTGTTTTGAACTATTCTAGAACCGTCCTTTTTCCGAACCCAAATAGGCCCAGAATCACTAGTTCTCGAATTTTTTAAGTACTGTTCTGTGTTCGCGGTTTAACTAGAATCGGTTCCGGATCGATTCTGAATTGGTTTTACTGGTTCTAGGTATTTGTTTGTCTATCCACTTCTGAACCACTTTGGATTGTCCTGATTGTTGAAACAGGAAAAATATCAGGATTTCTCTTCTTACATTAGTAGTTCTAGAACAGTTCTATTATTTCGGTTCAATGAATTATGGTTCTAGTGCACATTTTATGGTTGAAGTGCTCATAAAAAATTAACTCTAAAGTTATCGATAAAGATTCTGAACTCAGAATCACTAACTTCTTTGTTCCCGATTCAACTAAAATAGATTCCGAATCAATTTCAGAGACTTGGGGGCGGATTACGAACTCTCGATTCGAACCGAAACCGCCATGAATTTCGAACGCATTCTGATGCATTAGCATGGAGTGCGTTCGAAATCCATGGCGGTTTCGGTTCGAATCGAGAGTTCGTAATCCGCCCACTGTTCTTATGGCCCGTAAGCGGAACTAATCCAAAATCGACGTAGATGTTCCGAATCGATTTTGGAGTAGTTCTACCTGTTCCAATATTCCATTAGCAGAGCACCTTCCGAACCAATTTGGAGCTAATTCAGAATTGTCCCTAGAATATGATCCATTCCAGGATTTTATCCCATCAAAAACTATTCCGGAGCAGGAAATGGGAACTCGAAGACTTCTATTGCCCAACAATAGTTTTTATGAATATCATAATACTGCGCATTATTATAACTCTAAAACCAATACCTGTTCAAAGTCCATCCGGAACCGACTCCAGTTGAACCTGGAACAAAGAAATGCCATTAAAAATTCCAAAATTAGTGATTCTTAGTTCCAAATCCTTATCCATTAATGAGTCACTTTTTAGGGATTCAGAACTCCGGATTTTTAATCACAGTTCATTGTTTGCGGTTCAACTAGAACAAACTCCGAATCGATTTTTGGAGTAGTTCTGCCTGGTATAATATTCTATTAGCGGAGCACATTGTGAACCAATTTGGACAATTCTAGAATTCATAGTTCAGGATTTTATTGCACCAGAAATGATTTCGAAACAGGAAATGAGAACTCGAAGACTACTGCGCCGCATTTGCTTAACTGTCTGGTAAAACTCTGGATCCGACAGAATTAGTTCAGAGTCGATCTGGAACCGATTTTAGTTGAATATCGAACAACGAACTGATTTCGAATTAGTTCTAATCTTTATCTCAAACAAAACTAATTTTTTTTCAGATCACATTCCGAATCTGTTCGGAACTAATTCAGAGAGCTAAATTTAAAATCCCTAGAACTGATAGATGGAGAAGATCCGGAATCGGGAGCAAAGAACTGTAGCTCAAAATTCGGGTGCAGTTTTGAGGTATATAAAAGTCGAAAGCGCTGCTAGTGTTGAGTGAATGGGATTAGTTCCGAACCTACAAGTTTGAGCTGTTTTCTCGCGGTGGAACTGGTTCGACCCGGTTCAATTAGGTTCGAACCTCTACATTCTTGCGTTGAACCAGTGACGTCACATTGAACCTGGTTCAAAAAAGTTCGAACCGGACTCATGGCTTGTTCTCCGTTGACAAAAGACTGTGGTTCAAACCTTCCATTTTCTCGCGTTCACAAGTGATGACGTCATCTACAAATTGGTTTAAACCGTAGTTCGAACCATTCGCCCCGCGAGAAAACGCCTTTGGTGTAAACATGTTCCGTTTCGGATCGCTTTTTCATCAAACTGGTGCAGTTATGAGGCAAAAGTTGAAAGCGCTCCAGTGTTCAGTGTATGGGAAACTGGGAGCTCGTGAGAAAAAACATGCTCTGGAGCAGAATCCATTGAAAGGCTTTTGTAATAGAACACAAAAATCCACTCGAGAACCGCTGAAACTTAATTTTTGGATTATCGCTACTCTATTCCTAATGGAATTTACATTTATCTGTTGCACTGTTTGCGGATCACATTTCGAACAGATTCGTGATTAGAAATCAGTTCACTATTCTATTTTACCGCTTTCGGAACTAGAATCGAAAACTTGGAACTTTCTATTACTTGCTCTTAAAATATAGAACTTACTCTGAACCATAAAATGTTTGCGGACCACTTAAATTCTCAATTTTCACATACAGCTCTTTGTTCGTACTTGCGCTTTGAATTAACTCCGAACAGATTCAGAATGTGATTCGCAAAAAAAAAACAGTATTTTTCGTTAGCGATTCAAAACTATTTGCAGGTCTAGTTGAAACAATTCTTTCGTGAATCACTGAATTCCGAATTTCCAGTTCGTTGTTCGAGGTTCAAACTAGAATCGGTTCCAGATCGATTCTGAACTGGTTCTGCCAGTTCCTGAGTTTTATTAAAAACCTGGAGTTCGAAAAATGCACATTAACGTTAGAGTTCTGATTTCCTGTTCCGGAATCGTTTTTGGCAAAATAGAATCATGAACTGGTTCGTGACAAATTTGATTTAGTTCTAGCAATCAGGACAATCCAAAGTGGTTCGGAATAGAATCGGCTAATGAATCACTGAACCCGGAACCGATTCTAGTTGAATCGCGAACACAGAACAAGTACAACTTAAGAGTCACTTTTTATGGATTTAGAATCACTAACTTTTGGATTTCCAATCACAGTTCAATGTTCTAATATTCCTAAGTTCCCTGATCACTAAATTCCAAATTTTCAGTTATAGTTATTTGTTTCCGGTTCGGGATCTACTCTAGTTCTATCGGTTCTAAGGATTTTGAATGTAGCGCTCTGAATTAGTTCGGAACAGATTCGGAATGTGATCCGCAAAAAAAAAAATAGTTTCGTTCGTGATATACAATCAAAACTGATTCGGAACCAGTTCTTTGTTCGAAATTCAACTAGAATCAGTTCCTGATCGGTTCTGAACTAATTCTGTCGGTTCTAGGGTTTTACAGAAATCTTGGAGTTCGAGAAATGCTCAGTAACCTTCGAGTTCCCATTTCCTGTTCCGGAATCATTTCTGGTGCAATAAAATCCTATTTATTAGGCATTCTAGGACAATCCTGGATTAGTTTCAAATTGGTTCGGAATATGCGTCGCTAGCGGATTATTAGAACAGGTAGAACTACTCCAAAATCGATTGAAAACCTATTCTAGTTGAACTGGAAATAATGAACTGTGATTAAAAACTCGATAGTCAGTTACTCTGGGCAAAGATTCTGAGCTCTGAATCCTTATGGACAACTTTAGAGTTAAATGTCAAAGAGCGCTTGTACCGAAAAACATGCACTAGGATCATAATTCATTGAACACAAATAATAGAAAGTATTTTTTGAACTAATGCAAGAATTGAAATACTGATATTTTTAGGAACAATGTAACTTGTCCTGTTCTAACAATCAGGACAATTCAAAATGGTTCGGAATGGGGTCGGCTAACAAATCTCTGGAACCAGTGAAATTAGTTCAAAATCGACTTGGAACCGATTCGAGTTGATTCGCGAACACAGAACAGTACTTAAAAATTCGAAAGTTAGTGATTCCTGAGTTCTTAAATCCTTATTTCTAATTTGAGAGTCACTTTTCAAGGATTCAGAACTTGAAATCACTAACTTTCGATGTTTTAAGTACTGTTGTGTTCGCGAATCAACTAGAATCGGTTCCGGGTTGACTTTGAACTAGTTTTACTGGTTCTAGAGATTCGTTAGTCGACCCCATTCCGAACCGACTGTTCCACAGTTCGCGATTCAACTAGAATAGGTTCCAAATCGATTTTGGAGTAGTTTTCTTTGTTCCTAATAATGATCCATTACTGGAGCACATTCCGCACCATTATGGAACTGATCTAGGATTGTCCGAATGTCTAATAAATGTGATCCAGTTTAGGATTTGATTGCACCAAAAACGATTCCGGAGCAGGGAATGAGAACTCGAAGGCGCTAAATTTAGAACATTCTGAACTTTATAAAGAGTTTGTACTTGCTCTACCTGCTCGAAAAATCAGGAAGATCAGGAGAATGAATTCCGAACAGATTCAAAATGTGATCCGCAAAAAAAAAAAGTTTCTTTGGCGATAAAGATTCAGAATTAATACGGAACCATTTTTGTGCTCGAGATTCAAATAGAATCAGAACCAGTTTGCAACGAATTTAGAATCAGTTCAGGAAAAGAAAAAGAATTCTAAAATTTCATTGGAAACATTTTCGGAACAAGAAATTTAAAATTTGGAACTTTCTCTTGCGCTCAGACAACTTACTCTGAACCTTATAATGTTCCTGGATCACTATTTCGATTTTTGAGTTACACTTCTTTGTTCCCGGTTCCGGATCTACTCTAGATTGAATTGATTGAGCCAATACACAATTAAACAATCAAATTTATTCATTTATTAACAAAGAAAGTTACATATATTTTAATTAGTTTCAGCAATTATCTTCTTTACTTCCATATCCAATGTAGAAGCAACATTTTCCAATTGATCATGCACATTGGAAAAAGCATCAATTTGCCTCTTCAAAGAATCCTTATCCCCTTTTGTTTTCAGCTCATCAGTGGGCGAATAAAGCTTTTTCAAATTGAGATTCATCATTTCCATTTGCACTTCAATCAACTCTCGAGTCAACTCCACATTGACCATCACATAGCAAGTGGGTCTCATTTCTTTTAAGATTTGACTCAAAGTTTCCAGGGCGTCATAGCGTCTTTTTTGTACGGAGTACTGAGAGTCGATGTCCTCTTCGTAAAACGATACAAATCTGTATAGTTCGCTTAAGTCAAGGCATAAGTTGACGTATTGGAGTGGATAATTTCGTAGGGTGTAGAAAAGCCTGGCCCTTTTGATCCATTTGTGTAGGTTTGTGAATAAGGCTTGGGCCTGATCTTTGTTTTCGATTTGGGTCATTGTTAGGTTTTGGGGGATTTCGACTTTTAGGCCTTGGAACAAGTAAATTTGCTTAGTAGTAGTGGGAGTTTTGGCTAAAAAATATAATCATTAGAATGGTAGTTTTCTATAGCTGGGTTCGGCTTGCACACTCCGTGCACTCCGAGTGACTCCATTCGCACTCCAGCCGTTCGGGTATTGCCTTTTAACGAATCAGACAACGACTGGAGTGCGAACGGAGTCACTCGGAGTGCACGGAGTGTGCAAGCCGAACCCAGCTTCTAGAAGAGAATTTACGTTTGGAAGATTCGCCTTCTTCCAAGTTTTCAGGCTCGATGTCTTTGGGGATTTTGGGTTTTCGGCTCATTTCGAAAAGTTGCAGGCCGTAAAAGACCCAGGAGCGGGCCAAATCGGCTTGGGCGGCGCAAACTTCCAGGTTCGGTACTACTGCGACTTCAAGGGGGTTTAGGATTTCTTCTGCGGCTATCAGATGGTACCTATGGAAGATTACTATGTATGAAAATCCTATTTTCGGCTCTACAAGGTACTTCAAATTACGTCATTTTTGAACCTTGTCGAGCCTGGAATGAACATAAATTGATCCTGGGAAAACCAGAATTGAGAGGGTAAAATCCAAGTCAATAGGTTGTCTGATAATGCTAAACAGATGACGTTATTAGAAGGGTCGAATGAAGATTTGCATTAGCTTAGGCATTCAGATGACGTCATAAAAAGTAATCAGGCAACCTACCTGTTTCAAACCTTGGGTAAAATTAGAAAAAAAAATCTGGAAATTCCTTTATATTTTCTGTATTGTGTATTTGAAAAAATCAACATCCAATTAATTCCAAGAGCCTGGAATAAATATAAATTGACCCTCTGGAAAAACAAGAATTGAGAGGGTAAAATCCAAGGTTCGTAAAGTTAATAGGTTATCTGGTAATGGTAAACAGATGATGTCATCAGGAGGATATAGTAAAGCTGTGCGTTATGTTCAGGCATTCAGATGACGTCATAAAAGTTATCAAGCAACCTATACCTCTTTGAAACAACCTTATTGGTCTGGAAATTCCTTTATATTTTCTGCATTTAAAGAAATCAACATTAAATTCACTCCATAAGAGCCTGGAATAAATATAAATTGACCCTGGAAAAACAAGAATTGAGAGGTTAAAATCCAAGGTTCTTAAAGTTAATAGGTTGTCTGGTAATGGTAAACAGATGATGTCATCAGTGGGATATAATAAAGATGTGCATTATGTTCAGGCATTCAGATGACGTCATAAAAGTTATCAGGCAACCTACCTTTTTCATACAACCTTGGGTGATATCAGAAAAAAAAATGTGGAAATTGCTTTATATTTTTTGTATTTAAAGAAATCAACATTCAATTCACTTCAAGAGCCTGGAATAAATATAAATTGACCCTGGAAAAACAAAAATTGAGAGGTTAAAATCCAAGGTTCTTAAAGTTAATAGGTTGTCTAGTAATGGTAAACAGATGATGTCATCAGTAGGATATAATAAAAGATGTGCATTATGTTCAGGCATTCAAATGACGTCATAAAAGTTATCAGGCAACCTACCTCTTTCATACAACCTTGGGTGATATCAGAAGAAAAATATCTGGAAATTGCTTTATATTTTTTGTATTTACAGGAATCAACATTGAATTCACTCCATAAGAGCCTGGAATAAATATAAATTGACCCTGGAAAAACAAGAATTGAGAGGTTAAAATCCAAGGTTCTTAAAGTTAATAGGTTGTCTAGTAATGGTAAACAGATGATGTCATCAGTAGGATATAATAAAGATGTGCATTATGTTCAGGCATTCAGATGACGTCATAAAAGTTATCAAGCAACCTATACCTCTTTGAAACAACCTTATTGGTCTGGAAATTCCTTTATATTTTTTGCATTTAAAGAAATCAACATTCAATTCACTCCAAGAGCCTGGAATAAATATAAATTGACCCTGGAAAAACAAGAATTGAGAGGTTAAAATCCAAGGTTCTTAAAGTTAATAGGTTGTCTAGTAATGGTAAACAGATGATGTCATCAGTAGGATATAATAAAGAGGTGCATTATGTTCAGGCATTCAGATGACGTTATAAAAGTTATCAGACAACTTACCTTTTTCATACAACCTTGGGTGATATCAGAAAAAAAAATGTGGAAATTGCTTTATATTTTTTGTATTTAAAGAAATAAACATTCAATTCACTCCAAGAGCCTGGAATAAATATAAATTGACCCTGGAAAAACAAGAATTGAAAGGTTAAAATCCAAGGTTCTCAAAGTTAAGAGGTTGTCTAGTAATGGTAAACAGATGATGTCATCAGTAGGATATAATAAAGATGTGCATTATGTTCAGGCATTCAGATGACGTCATAAAAGTTATCAAGCAACTTATACCTCTTTGAAACAACCTTATTGGTCTGGAAATTCCTTTATATTTTTTGCATTTAAAGAAATCAACATTGAATTCACTCCATAAGAGCCTGGAATAAATATAAATTGACCCTGGAAAAACAAGAATTGAGAGGTTAAAATCCAAGGTTCTTAAAGTTAATAGGTTGTCTAGTAATGGTAAACAGATGATGTCATCAGTAGGATATAATAAAGATGTGCATTATGTTCAGGCATTCAGATGACGTCATAAAAGTTATCAAGCAACCTATACCTCTTTGAAACAACCTTATTGGTCTGGAAATTCCTTTATATTTTTTGCATTTAAAGAAATCAACATTCAATTCACTCCAAGAGCCTGGAATAAATATAAATTGACCCTGGAAAAACAAGAATTGAAAGGTTAAAATCCAAGGTTCTTAAAGTTAAGAGGTTGTCTAGTAATGGTAAACAGATGATGTCATCAGTAGGATATAATAAAGATGTGCATTATGTTCAGGCATTCAGATGACGTCATAAAAGTTATCAAGCAACTTATACCTCTTTGAAACAACCTTATTGGTCTGGAAATTCCTTTATATTTTTTGCATTTAAAGAAATAAACATTCAATTCACTCCATAAGAGCCTGGAATAAATATAAATTGACCCTGGAAAAACAAGAATTGAGAGGTTAAAATCCAAGGTTCTTAAAGTTAATAGGTTGTCTAGTAATGGTAAACAGATGATGTCATCAGTAGGATATAATAAAGATGTGCATTATGTTCAGGCATTCAGATGACGTCATAAAAGTTATCAAGCAACCTATACCTCTTTGAAACAACCTTATTGGTCTGGAAATTCCTTTATATTTTTTGCATTTAAAGAAATCAACATTCAATTCACTCCAAGAGCCTGGAATAAATATAAATTGACCCTGGAAAAACAAGAATTGAGAGGTTAAAATCCAAGGTTCTTAAAGTTAATAGGTTGTCTAGTAATGGTAAATAGATGATGTCATCAGTAGGATATAATAAAGATGTGCATTATGTTCAGGCATTCAGATGACGTCATAAAAGTTATCAAGCAACCTATACCTCTTTGAAACAACCTTATTGGTCTGGAAATTCCTTTATATTTTTTGCATTTAAAGAAATCAACATTGAATTCACTCCATAAGAGCCTGGAATAAATATAAATTGACCCTGGAAAAACAAGAATTGAGAGGTTAAAATCCAAGGTTCTTAAAGTTAATAGGTTGTCTAGTAATGGTAAATAGATGATGTCATCAGTAGGATATAATAAAGATGTGCATTATGTTCAGGCATTCAGATGACGTCATAAAAGTTATCAAGCAACCTATACCTCTTTGAAACAACCTTATTGGTCTGGAAATTCCTTTATATTTTTTGCATTTAAAGAAATCAACATTCAATTCACTCCAAGAGCCTGGAATAAATATAAATTGACCCTGGAAAAACAAGAATTGAGAGGTTAAAATCCAAGGTTCTTAAAGTTAATAGGTTGTCTAGTAATGGTAAACAGATGATGTCATCAGTAGGATATAATAAAGAGGTGCATTATGTTCAGGCATTCAGATGACGTTATAAAAGTTATCAGACAACTTACCTTTTTCATACAACCTTGGGTGATATCAGAAAAAAAAATGTGGAAATTGCTTTATATTTTTTGTATTTAAAGAAATAAACATTCAATTCACTCCAAGAGCCTGGAATAAATATAAATTGACCCTGGAAAAACAAGAATTGAAAGGTTAAAATCCAAGGTTCTCAAAGTTAAGAGGTTGTCTAGTAATGGTAAACAGATGATGTCATCAGTAGGATATAATAAAGATGTGCATTATGTTCAGGCATTCAGATGACGTCATAAAAGTTATCAAGCAACCTATACCTCTTTGAAACAACCTTATTGGTCTGGAAATTCCTTTATATTTATTGCATCTAAAGAAATCAACATTGAATTGACTCCATAAGAGCCTGGAATAAATATAAATTGACCCTGGAAAAATAAGAATTGAAAGGTTAAAATCCAAGGTTCTTAAAGTTAATAGGTTGTCTAGTAATGGTAAACAGATGATGTCATCAGTAGGATATAATAAAGATGTGCATTATGTTCAGGCATTCAGATGACGTTATGAAAGTTATCAGGCAACCTACCTTTTTCATACAACCTTGGGTGATATCAGAAAAAAAAATCTGGAAATTGCTTTATATTTTTTGTATTTAAAGAAATCAACATTGAATTCACTCCAAGAGCCTGGAATAAATATAAATTGACCCTGGAAAAACAAGAATTGAGAGGTTAAAATCCAAGGTTCTTAAAGTTAATAGGTTGTCTAGTAATGGTAAACAGATGATGTCATCAGTAAGATATAATAAAGATGTGCATTATGTTCAGGCATTCAGATGACGTCATAAAAGTTATCAAGCAACCTATACCTCTTTGAAACAACCTTATTGGTCTGGAAATTCCTTTATATTTATTGCATCTAAAGAAATCAACATTGAATTGACTCCATAAGAGCCTGGAATAAATATAAATTGACCCTGGAAAAATAAGAATTGAAAGGTTAAAATCCAAGGTTCTTAAAGTTAATAGGTTGTCTAGTAATGGTAAACAGATGATGTCATCAGTAGGATATAATAAAGATGTGCATTATGTTCAGGCATTCAGATGACGTCATAAAAGTTATCAGGCAACCTACCTTTTTCATACAACCTTGGGTGATATCAGAAAAAACAAATCTGGAAATTGCTTTATATTTTTGTATTTAAAGAAATCAACATTCAATTCACTCCAAGAGCCTGGAATAAATATAAATTGACCCTGGAAAAAAAAGAATCGAGAGAGTAATATCCAAAATTCCTAGAGTTGTCTGCTAATGCTAAACAGATGACGTCATCAGGAAGATCTAATGAAGATTTGCATTATATTTAGGCATACAGATGACGTCATAAAAATTATCAGGCAACCTCCTAAAAATTTTGAATTGAAAAATCAATATTCAATTTGTTCCAAGAGCCTGGAATAAACATACATTGACCCTGGAAAAATATAAATGATGGAAATGCATCTGTATCGTCTGACC